CCACGGCAGTGCTATCAGACAGCAACTCGTGCCATAATCTTGCTGTAGAGCTCTAAAAAGGTAGGTATGCTCGACGGCCATTTTGGACCCAACCTATGGAGCGAGTAACGCTGTCAGCTGCTTATGTATTCAAATAAGTTCATACAAGTGTCGACTTGCTACCCAAGGAAAATGGCGCAAAAACAAAAATTAATACAGTTCTTTGCTTTTATATTTCAGCCCAATTTTTAAATTAAGTGTTTTTATTTTAATGAGTGAAAAGAGGTAAAAAGGTTTATATGAAAAACATTCAAAATTTACATACATTTAGAAATAGGTACAAAGTTCGGAACTAATTACAATTTACAATCTGGTTTCTTTTTCTGTCGAAGAACCATATACTCTCACTTTTCGCATTTTGGAACTTTTAGAGTAGTTCTTTACACAATACATACGTACAACAAAGAAATGTTTTACCAGCTTCTCCATCAGTTCGCAACCACGCTCACAATTAGGAATTGAAACATTCAGGGCCGGACTGGTTTGCAAATTTCTACCGGGAGATACTTTGAAAAGGGCCCCCTATAAGGTCTTTTTCAGGAAAACCATATAGTAGCTTACTTTTACCATTTAGTTAGCTGCCAAATAAAACTACACAATAGCGTCATAAGTGATAAAATAAAAACGTTTATTATTTTAAGGTAACATTATAGCAAACTCATATTTTATTAAACAGGTTTCTTTTAAAACTAAATTCTATATTAGAGGTTGGGTATTTATTGTATATATATTTTCTTCCGAGATTTATTCAAAAACATAAAAAATGATTTCTAACTAATAATACTAATTGTAGGCAGTTAAACGTAACTCACTTTTACTTTAGAGCAAGTGTTTGAAAATATGGTTGGTACTTAATGCTTTGATAATGGAATCATTGTCAATAGATTCGAGTATATCCGACTCCACGAATTCCAAGTTTATTAAACGATGCGATGTTACGTTCCGTTTACTTTTTTTCTTGTGGGTTGTGAACCCCACTCCCTTAATGAAATGATTTATCTTTTTACAGATTTTTATACCGATTACAATTTACAAATATGAAATAGTTAACGTAAATATAGATATCAAAATACCTTGGTACTTATATTTAATACTTACTTACCCAATGAAACAGATTCGTAAACGTAGGGGTAGGTAATAAGTAATAACGCAACTCAATCAAAGTAAACTTTACACTTTATAATTAATAATTATTATAATTTATAGTACGCAAACTTATGCAACGTTAACGTAAACGTAAAACGACACTGCTGACTAGTGACTGCTGTCGCATCCAGCATCTTTCATGTTACTGAACTGAATAAACAATAAACAGTTTTCATTTATTACCTGCACCGGCTTGCACTGCATACTGCATTAGACAGCATTCAGCATTCTCCGAAAAGTAATGACAGATTGTAAATTTAAAAGGATTAAATTTTATTCTTGGTAAGCGAACTTTTAGTCGGAATTTTGCATAGAAGATAAATTATGTAAATAAACCTAGGCGGCCTGTAAGGGTCTACCGTCTACCTAACAGTTCTTTGTGGTGCCATATAATTGATCGGAAATTTACTTTTTTTCACTTATTAACAATATTAAGCATTGAATTAGGGCCCCCCGGTAGTCAGGGCCCCCCGGGAAATCTCCCGGTATCCCTCCTGTCCAGTCCGGCCCTGTCTGTTGCAGATGGTTTTACGGTCGAACTGTAGTCGTGATCGTTAGCAAACTCTACTATCATCTCTGTAACGAAACAATATTGAACCACACACACACTTGGAAGTCCTTATTTACCATTACTAACTTGCAGGTCGTCTGTTTCTGGTATTTCAATTTCAACTGGAAGTAGTAAAATGTATGTAAATTGTTTATAATGTACACATTTTTTACTTACTAGCATCCCCATCAAATTGTGATTGAAATCCCTCTGCTCTTGGGCCAAGTATATCTTTAATGCCCTCTTCGGTGTCATTTAATGGGGTGTCTTTGTAAGGACCACCCCCAGTTCCCATTGAATACGTTTTATTTTCAGACAGTTTCTTTTTCACCCTTTTCTTTAGATTTTCGAACTTCTTTTTTAACACAGCTTCACTACGGTGGCTGTCGTTTACTACATTGAACTCCCGAGCAACATTTGACCAGGCTTCGGTCTTTTGTTGGTTCGTAACCGCATCTGTTTTTTTGCACTCTAAGACATGTTCATATTGTTTTACTAAACTGGTTAATATTGCCTCTTCTTTCGCGGTAAAATTGGCTGCACGCACTTTTTTTTCGTTAGAGCACATCGTTATAAATAAACTAGTATTGATTGAAGGTTAAGTTTATTCACAACAAATATCCAATTAATTCTTTATGCGCATGTTTGCACGTTGCCAACAACAGAAAATTGTGGTTTTGGTAAACGAAGTTTGAACGCAGTTTGTACAACGAGGTTAAACGAAAACTACGCTCAAAACTTGGGCGTAGTTTAGTTAAACCATCCCTGAACTTCACACTTGTACAACCGGCCCTGACATTTTGAAGTTCAAACATGGAAGTACCCAACGAAGTACCTACTTGTACTAACTAGTAACTGCCAACTTAAGAGATGAGTTACCAAAAAAAAAACGACTATAATCACTGTCTTTGTACAACTGTTTTCGGCCGAAAACAGTTGTACAAAATCATCATTGTGACACCGAAATAGAAAAATGTTATTTTTATGAGTGATTACGTACTGCGCAGTGACACATTATAAGAACTTCATTTTCATTGGTTCCGCTATTTATAAATATATCGTACAAAAAGCCCTCATACCGTAAATTATTTCTACAAAAATTTATATTTCTTATGTTATAAGAAAAAATGGCCGTCTAACATAACGGAAAATGCTGTCCGCAACCTGGCTATTATCATTGAGTAATTATTCACTCAACGATATTATGTAATGTAGGAGTATGAGTAAGATGTCGATGCACCCTACCATCGCCGTTGTAATTATATACTCAAAATTTCTTATCTGTACACTTTTCGAATTCGCGACTCGGCAACAGCACCACGCCCGGCGACGCATCGGCAGATATTTGTATATGTGATCTGATGCTTATTATGTTATTAAAAAAATGCAACTCGCCATTTGCCTTGTTAGTTGTAAACGTGAGACTGTTGTGCTTGTGAACGAAATAATATGAAAATAAAACTTTTGGTTATTCAGTATTCAGCTGTTTCTTATTATTTGTTGAAATTCGAAGCAAGCAACTGGAAAGTATCTTTTTAAAAGAACTTTTTTAAAAGTAACTTAGTTACTATAACTGTAACTAAGTTACTTTTGTTTCTACGTATCTAGTTACTCAAGTAACTTAAGTTACTTTTTGGAAAGTAACTTAGTTACTTTATCAAAGTAACTTTCGTTTCACCTTTGTGTAAGTACCTACCGCGCTTTGAGAGGGGTACCATGAAGTGAAGAATAAACAATTCCTTGCCCCCCCCCCCCCCAATCCTGCCTCCCTATTTTGATAAGTGGTAAGGGAGAAGGGAGGTATGTTGGTAGAAAAAAGTTCCATTCGTCGAGACCTTCAATTTAGAATAACCTACCTTGAAAGATAAAAGCAATTCTGCCTTCCGTTCCCCTGCCGCCCTGGTCTAAAAAAGGGATCGCGGAGATGTTTGTAGAAACCAATTCCGTTCGATGAGATAGACTTCAGCAAATTTCGACTCGGTTTAGCTTGCACAATTTTAATACGTTGGTGACTAAGCGGGGTATCTCGTTCACTCGAGGGGTAAAAAGTTTCTTAGAGCTCGAATCGAGCTATGAGAAGTAAACAAAAATTGAGTATCTACTATTTTGTGCCGGGTTTTTAGCAAAATCCACCAAAATGCGAGTGAACGGTACGTCGCAACTGTCTACCGACAAAGAGAATGTGGTAGCCCCCGACAAGATCTTACTGATGGTGGAGTGCGAATTGCGGGTGCACGGGAAGTGGGAAGCGGATACCGACATAGTGAATATTATAATCTTGACAAGATCTTATTGATGGTGGAGTCTATACTGGCTAATAAAACACTGATCTGTCTGGTCCCATAAAATGTCCTGAAGTCCCTTCGATCTCACACGAGGATTTTGATAATTTTTTTAATATTATTATTAAGTAAAAAAATTATTATTAGTACGAACATGCATTGGTACATACATGGTTTTGGTTTTGTAACTATACAGTTGCCTTTATCTGTTGACTGTGTTTGCGCAAGTTGAATACTTTTCCTGAAAAAATATTTTGTAGATAGGAAGTCAAAATATAGGTAACCACAATAATACGTCGAACAAGAACAGACAAAGAAAACATCTTGGAATTTTAAATGCAGGTGTATACACAACGAGCGACAAGGTCACTTCCGGTTGACGGGTATTGAGCAAAATCTAATTATTTAGTCCCTTGACCATTGTCTACCTAATACTCAAAACAGAACTGGAAATTTCGAAACCGTTCGTGCGAGTTATCATGTACACAGATGGACGGACGGACGGGCAGAAAGTTCAAAATCATAAACTCGCTTTTTGTCGGTCGTTAATAAGTAGGGACCGTGTTTAATAATTTGATTAGAAATGTAAGATAACATTTACAAAGTAGGTCTATCACCAAAAATTTCATAATGTAAAGATATGGTAGGGTTCTTTTTCTTTCACCATCCATTTGTTAATCCTGCACGGCCCAATCATTAGGTAATATAAAATAAAAATAAATTACTTTTATACAATTTTTATTTGTCAAAATTGTTTTTACAACTATGATATGCATCTTGTTTTCTTTAAGAATAAGCATCGTAGACGTAATGGCAAATATTCACAATTACTTTGAAAGAAATCAACCAAATTTGAAAAGTAAAAAAGCAATTCATCATTTAATAAAATATCCGAACTAGAAGACCCACTACATTATATTGCTATTCTATTGTAATCTAAAAGTAGTAATTATACAATAATTTTCTACTGACACTGTAAGTATATGTGATTTGCTTTCAAACTACTGCATGTGAGACACATTATGTATACATGTACTTAGCAGGAACTTATTAAACTAACTATCTTGTTAGCGAGATACTGAACATTATATAAATGTACAATATCTATGAAAGTAAAAAATTTAAAGTACATGCTACATGTTGGGTATAGGTACCATTTGTCGAACAAAAACTTTTCCGATATCGCACTTGGTAGATTCGAAGTGCTAGAATAAAAATATCAATCGTGTGTATTTCGAAATGTTTAGCTTTCTCAAAACTAATAGTTTTCTACAGATTCGTAATCGTTATCAAAACTCGCATATTAAATAAAAGCAAAAAGTACTACAGACAAAGAGTAGTTTGCACTATCTACAGCATTTTCTGTGTGAAGATATTTTTATAATCATGCCACGCATGACAACATACCTATAAAATGAACCTTTTAAAAATAGGCTACTGTTCTCTCATTACCAATTTCAATTACTTATAACAAACGATAAATTTCGTGCCCTGCTTGGTTAACGTTACTCGTTAGTACCTTAACATATTGCTCCACATAAGGGGTTGTATACGAAATCAAATAATTTTTGTTTATTTTGTAAATCAGCGTAAACTACGTTATTGCCAAATTGATGATAATGATGGGAACATTCTTTTAAGGCTCCGTACAAAGGAAAATCAATCACCTGGAAAATGAGCTTTTGCAAATATCGGTGGTTCATTGGCCTTTACAGTTACTATATACAGGTCAGTTAGCGAAAGCGATTTAATTCGTTTAGAAGTAGTAAATGAGTTGATTGAACAATAAATAAAACAAGCGTTGTGATCATTAGCGATAGAATAAATAAAAACTACAAAAACGGACTTTTTATAATTATCTAAGTATTTAGTCGCGAACAAGTTTTTAATAAGCCTAATCGGCTTCCACAATCTTATCCATTAGAAAGCGTTTTTTGTGCATCATTAAACCGGCCGATCATTTTAATGTAGCAGAAGTTTCTTTTTGTTTGCCTAATTGTAATCGAAATAATGTTTTGGGATTCATCGATGAAAGATGCTACTTTATTTACTCTTCAGTTGCGTGATAATTTGTACTTATAGCGTAAGGTTAATCATTATTTTCATAGGGATTTTCATAGGGATCATCAGGAACATCTAGCAACTTTGTAACTTGCGTAATACTACTGGAACAAATACGTGGTAAGAACACAGAAAATGAAGAGATTTGGAAACTATCGAAATGGGGCCATTAAGAAAAAATCCCGTCAAATCTATAGATCATCTAGCTTTTCTTAAACATATAAAAACAATAATACTGATGTTAATGTTTATTATAATAGTTAAAAAAAGGCTTTCTAATGTAAAATTTAGACGTGTTCTAGCGGTAACCTTTCAGAGCAAATAGTGTGATCAGTAAGCTGTGCTTGCTGAAATGTTGGCTAGTGTTCTAGTAATGCAAGTTCTGAAATTTGGCTCGAGAAATACCATAAATAAAATACACATAGTTGATACTTTACATTATCTTTTGTTCTGTTTAAATTAATAATATCCAAACTCTTGTTCAACAATAAAAAAAAAAGAAAAAACAGAGCATCAATGTAACATTTTATTAATATTGATGTGAAATATTATTATGAAAACTTAACAATTAATGATTAAGTTGGTAGTTAATTGGCACTCAATACAGTTACATTTATTTGTAAATGATTCCCGGAGCTATTGTATTAAAATCTATGTGTGGTATAAATCTGTACTAAATGATTTGTATAAAAATTCGGAACTAGATCTGTTAACATGTTACACATTCCTTTTCTGTATAATAAGACACTTATAGAATATGTGTAAACAAATCCGTGATAAATTATGTGTATGGAGTACTACTATTATTCTTATTTAAAGCTTTGTTTATATTTGACCACCATTGAAAACCCTGGAACTGGAACATAAAAAATAAATCTATGCACAAAAAACAATTTTAATCGGTGATAGCACAATTCAACACTATTTAAAAGTAATATAAAAATATAACTATACGTTTAACTGCAAAACCTTAACAATCCAATAAATCGTCGATTATTTTCCAATAGTTAAAATTGCTTGGCAAGAATACAATCAATTCAATATTGTGGCTAAAGGCAAAACCGTTCAGTACAGACAACAACAATCAATGTGTAACACGTCAACTTTAACAACTGTATCTATATCTATTGTATTGTAAATTACATATTCTAGTGATACTGGAAGTGAGTGGCCCTGAGCTACCAGAAAATGGGTACCTAATTATTAACTAAACTTACATAACCATTTCCAACTGAATCTGTTACAACAGTTATTTATCTGAATATGTGCACTGCTGTATATTAGCAAGAGATATTATTTAGCTTGTTTACATTATTTAAAATTTTAATTCTATTAAAGGAATTGAAAGTAATCACAACTATTCAATTTGCTATTGTATATGTTGTAAATTTCATAATTTCCACATCCATGTTAGGAGTATTTTATTTATATTTCTTGATTATATTAAAAACACAAAAAAATGATAGAAAAAAGTTAATTCCACACAACATATTAGTAAAAATGAATATGTGTTTCATCACAGACTATCACAGATTATATATCTGCAATTAATTCAACCCTTTCTACTTCGAGCAAAATATTTTTGAAATCATCAAATTTAGAAACCGCCTTGTTTCTGAGTGTAGTACATCAGTCACAATCTCTCAAAACAGTTAATCGAACTGCCGATGCAATTTTTCTCCATTACGCAGAACTAGTACACTGAATACCAGTCAAAGAAAACTAGTAAAAACTGAAATAAATACTAAATCACAACGTAAGTACAATTTTATAAGACAAATCAACATTGAATAAAATCTCACTAACACTGCCTTCTTACTACTACTAAAACTTTTAGCACCATCTATAACTTACATGTTTGAATAAAACGGATAAAAAAGACTCGAAGTCTTATACGGGTAGGCACTCCTGTTGCATCATTCCCTCTTAATTTAATGATTACGTTTTCACCAAGAAAAAGTAAATTATAGCTGGTGATTAAAATTGGCCGTTCAGTATTGAGACCCTAAAATACTTTAAACTGTACAATAATATGTAATGTAGGAATCATATTTCTAAAACAAAATTAGTTCGACTTGAAATGCCAGCGTATGTAAAAAATGTGTGGCAAAAGCTAAATAAAAATTTAACTGCGCTCTTCTGCGATTTACTTTAACAGAACGATTTTATGTTTACGTCTGATACAGCCAATTTGTTGATAACCAACTATTTTTACCCTGTGTGTGGCTGACCACTGGCCTCTAGCCGACTTAGGCCACAGGATTTTGATACTAGTCAACTACATTTTGATGAAGAAATAAATATTCTACCACTACATTCACCTATACACAACGATATATATCTCTCTATTAAGGTATAATAAATATACTCTTCACATAGGAAACAAAAAAGCAGTTAATAAAAACTTATGGCTAAAAGTATGGATATCCATATATTATTTCTATTATTGCTATAATTCTACAATAAACAATCTTTATAACTCTAAAGGAACATAGAATGCCGCAGTATTGCTTTAAGGATGGCACTGCGCTCAGGTCAGTGGTCAGCTTTGTTTAACCATGTAGTGCACAAAACAAATGATACGCGGTGAGCACTGTGTACTGAAGGTAACCAACTAAACAAAGATTAGCAATTGAAATACTGCCAGGGTCTATCCTAGTCCATCCCTGTACAATAATACTGCCAGGAGACGTTAAGTTACAAAAAATACCAATACAATTTAAAGAAGCTAACCTGATGGAATGCTAGCTCATCTAATTTCATGGAAGATCATTATACAAATTTACAATTTGTTTTCTATCTAACAAATGAATATTTAAAGCCTGGTAGCCCGAAAATCCTCTGACTCGCATCACAGTTAGCACTTGCCGAAAACACTTATAAGTTAATTCTATCACAGCTCTTACAGTTGCCCTTTAATAAGGTATAAATATTTCATTTTAGTTAACTTTTAATGGCTACACTCTGGCGGGCTACCCGACTACTGTTATTAAGTGATTGCTAATGTGACAAATGTATTATAAAAAATTTGGTGAACAATTTAATATAATATTGTACAATAATATGTGTTTGTTATTTATAATTAACTAATATAGTACATAAGCTTAACTATAAAGCATCAGTCTAAGGAACTATATTGAGGGCACTAGTGTGGGCTTTCTTCTTTCGCGTCCAAAGGGCTCGGTGATAAGAAGTTTCGAACGTATTTTGGAAAATGTGTTTTTTCGTGCGCTTTTAGTATGGTCGAACGCGAAAAAGTTTTACCGCATAGAGCACATCGAAACGGCCTTTCACCTGTGTGCACGCGGCAATGGTCTTTCATATGATGCCTAAGTTTGAAAGCTTTCCCACAAAATTCACATTTAAACGGTCGGTCTCCTGTATGCACCGGCAAATGAGCAATTAAAGAACTTACATCGGGAAAAGATTTACCACAAAATTTACACAATACAACACCCGCACCGTCACCAGATAGCTCCAAGTCCATTGGCGTCGACGGATGGTCCGTGGCTTCCGCTGCCTCTAAATGCGAGATCGGAACCCTACCACTAAAGTGCGATTCCATCAGGTGCAAGGGTTCCGGTAAATTTAAACTCGTGGGATGTTGCAGTTGTTCGCGATACTTTAACGTTTCTAAACTATGAGATAGTATGTGTCTCGTTAACTTGCTTTGGTGTGGAAACGAAGCTCCACAGTACATACACGGATAAAGTCGAGGCGAGTCGTCATCTCCACGATCGAGATCCTGCAACCAAACAAACTGACATCAACTTCTTGCCGTTTATTCACAAAACATGTGGCTACCCTGTAATACTACTACAAGAAGTTGACGCTCATTTGTTTGGCTGAAGGAGTGGAGGATACCGCTGCCCCTGTTCATCAAATTTTACAAATACTTGCACAAACAGCGTATTCCAACAAACGAAAACAAAAATGTCCTAAGCCAAAATGAATGTCAACTTCTTGACAGTACATTTGAAAAAGTTTATACAATTAGCAACCTTTCCATTACCTACTGCTAACTAAAGAGAAAGCTAGTACATGAAAAGAAACATACCGAATCATGAGGATGTCTTGAATACTCCGAGTAGTTTTCTATGGAACTCTTCTTGTCTTCGGTCGCACCACCTCCCCAGTCCACTTCTTTTTTTAACGACTGAAAAAGAAAGTAAAATAAGTATCAAAAACTTCATTGAGAAAAAGGTATCACCATATCGATGCAAATTTATAAAATAAAACACAGCGAGAAAGATGCGCTAGTTAGTTATGGATATCAAATTCAAATGTGATTTGTATTAACTCTTCGAGTCCCAACTTTGATGTAGTATTGTAATATATTCTCCCCAACATGGCGGAGGGACTATTTTGTTCTTGATTGTCATGGATTTCCGACAACAACATTTCTAAAGTTTTGTAATATTATTTGTTTTTTCAGATACCTTTCCTGCATTTGTCAATTACGAACTCTCCATAATAGGGCGTCAAAATTCAAACCGAGTGCCAAGTATGACGTGAAGTGGGTAAAACCACTTAGAAATTTTGTATAGCATTGAGCATAGCGATGGTCTAACACCTACTTAGCTGTCACACTATTATTTTTTGTAAACGTTACGTAACGGTAACACCACCGCTGAAACTATAAATTTACATGCCTCTTTTAATTTAGGATTCCTACCATTGAATTTTAGAAGATAATTAGCTGTTAATTTATAGTGTTATATTGTGCTAAAAAGACCAAACATTTTAAAGAGCAACAAATTCGAAATAAAATCAACATTTAATTGCGTCGTACGACATTAAACAAATTTCGATACCTATTTTATAAAAACAAAATATTTTATATTTTTTGTATAATATATATCCCCCAGCATTATTTGGAAAAAGGAGACTACATCGGATCTTGTTTTTACGTTAAAATTCCGGTTCAATGATTTTGGAGTTAATCACGTAGCATGTCTATCTTTAAAAGCGAAACATGGAAAATGTGTTCGCAAAGGATGAAATCGGACAAAAACCGTTTCTTATTTTATTTTTGTAAGCACATATAAATTATTTCTGTTGAGGATCACTGTAATTTTTTTTGTTTGGGGTTCACTGTATTTTCTAAATCGTATTGTATTTCATCGTGGTGATTTATGATTCTTGAGGCGAGTTTGTAATGTACGTTTGTTTACTTTTTTATGGAAGCCCAAATAGCACAGGCGATAAGTACACAAAAAACGTCAATCTGAACATTTTGAGAGGGAAAGCTGGACTTTGTTGAAATGTCTCAGGTTAGGTGTCCCGAATAACGTACTGAAAGTCCAGACCCCCAACTGCGCCGCTCGTCGAGCTGTGGCACGTTTTTGCCCCCCGAAATCAGTTTTTCGTTAATATCTCGAAATGTAGGAGGCTTAGAGAAAAACTTTTGAAACAAAAAATGTTCCTCGTAAAATTTCCTACACGATAGCTTATTTGCAAGTTAGCCCAGGCCTAACCGTTAGCCTACAGCGTTCATTTGAGTAGTCTAATATCGAGTTTTTCGCGAATTTCCTGCAGTGAATAGATAGAGAACAGGGTCATATGTCAGTCTACCTGGAATTTATGCTCCGGGTGTATGGGCTTTTCATGCCTCAATGCTGAGGTACAAGCTGAGGAAGAGTCACACTTCGACGACAGTATGGACTCCGATGTCGAAACTACTCTGCATTCGGATGATGACACGCTGTTGAGTCGAACGATGAAATGTAGATAGAATTTTGAATTGTAAATAAGAAAATACGCATGCTTCCAGAATGTTGATGAAATTTCTTAAACTAACGTTCAAATCGGCTATCCTATGGTACAATAAGTGACAAGTATGTCTTTCATCAATTTAGGCGTCCAACCATAAGTACAAAAAATCATCAAATAACTCAATATTAGACTACTCAAAAGAACGCTGTAGGCTAACGGTTAGGCCTAGGCTAACTTGCAAATAAGCTATCATTTAGGAAATTTTACGAGGAACATTTTCTGTTTCAAAAGTTTTTCTCTAAGCCTGCTACATTTCGAGATATTAACGAAAAACTGATTTCGGGGGGCAAAAACGTGCCACAGCTCGACGAGCGGCGCAGTTGGGGGTCTGGACTTTTAGTACGTTATTCGAGAGACCTAACCTGAGACACTTCAACAAAGTCCAGCTTTCCCCTCCAAAATGTTTAGACCGATGCACTTACCGCCTGTACTAAAAGGCTAGGGTTACTAAATAAATAATAAATAGTAAAACAAAAGTAACGAAAGCAATCCCAACCAACCTCATACAGTAATAATACCGTGAAATTCTAAAAGAAAGTTTTGTTTGAGTGTAGGATTGGGATACCTTGTAATTTTACAAATGTGCAAAAAAGAAAATCTAAAAAAACTACTGTTGTGACTTGTGAGGCGATTACTATCACTTATACAACTGAGATTACAAAGTACGAGTACTATGCAACGTTGACACGTCATTCTTCTGGGGAATATAATTTCTCAATTCTCCACATTCGCTATTAAAAATGGAAGCTCTCACGCTCAAACCGTTTGAGATCTAGACATGAAAATAAAAACGCTTCCATTTGAAATTATTTCCATATTTTGAGGTGAAAAAGAATTTATACGGGTGTTTGAGTGCGGCCGCCATCTTGAATTTTTACTTTCGGACTACATACAAGTATGTATAAAGGAAAGTATTGTAATCGTGTTAAATTTTCGATATGCCAATATTGCGTTTTCTGGACGTTTTGACGCACACAGACCCAAAAATAGTATATTAAGATACAAGTGTATAATCAAGTCTTCAAAGCACGCGTAATGAGTTTAATGCCACGAAGCGAAGCGGAGTGCCTTCAACGTTGCAAGTGCTTTAAAGACCAATTATACACGTGTATCTTATAGGATTTTTTATTATATCTGCAGTATAATTTAACAAGTTAAAAAGTAATCGTAAACGATTTACATAAAGCGCATTTCCACTTGCATTCATTTCCCATTTGTAAGATGCAACTTCTGTTAAAATCGTCAAAATCCGGCCACAAATATGAAAGATAGCGTTGCACATGGGCAAACCATTTTTGACGTGCTACTTCAATTTCAGTTTATAAGAAGAATTTCATTTCAATGCTTTCCTAAATAAGAAAGTTAGAACTGCGCATGCGCAAACCTAAATTTTGAAACTAATGTTAGATTTTCCTTTGTTCCAAGTGCCAAAGTATCAAATTTCACTTAAATGCTTCCATAGAAAAAAAATTGGCACTGCGCATGCGCAAAATAAAATTTTGAAACTGGCGTTAAGATTTTCCTTTATCAAATTTCATTCAAATACTTTTATAAATAACAAAGTTTGCAATTCGGTTTATAAATGGTCGAGATGCGAAAAGGGCACTGTGAATTTTGAATGGATTCGACTCAACTTTTGGCATTGCGTATTATACGGCTAAAGCTATGCCCATATTGAATTTCATGCAATTCAGCTAATAACTAACGGAGATGTAAAAGCGATCGGACATTTCTAAACAAAGTTATCGTTCACACGGGCAGATAGAGGGACAGACAGACAAAGGAACAGACGGACAGACAGCAATTCAAAATTATAAATGATCTCTAGGATCGTTAATAAACGGAAAAAGTGTAAAATTATGGAACATCTCGTGGAACATGTAAAAAACGGTTTGTTGGTTTTTTTACAATAACTTTTTTAGCAATAAACGCAGAAAGAATTCCTTCCTTGGTGCAAGCCTCGACACCATAAAGAACCAAATACCGAAAAAAGTAGGACAATAGCTAGTAGCGTCTCATAGAACGAGCGGACGGACGGACGGACAAAGTGGCCACAATAGGGCATTTTTTTTAATTGTTGTGGAAATGCGCTAAAAATAGGAAATACAATGAAATCATATTGACGTTGTACTTGAATAGGTACATGTCTAATTAGGTGGGCTGGGTGTTCGTAATTTCACGATAGCCATGGAAATGTCACTTGCGTTTGCTTATAAAAATTATCATCTTTGTGAATAAAACTATTTCCGTTGAAAAAGATAATACACCGTCTATTAAATCGCTTGTTCTAAAATCTAAACAACGTTGATGTAGGTGTATAATCCAAATCCAGTAAAGCCTATTATAAAGAATATGAAAAGTTGTTTCCATGGATGAATAGGAAGTTAATTACGAATAAAGTCGTAAATGTATCGATAATTGTGGTGTTTTTTTCATAATTTAGAATCCAGAATGCATATGTCAATGTATAAAAATAAATGTTCTATGTTATTCACAGAATATTAAAATCTTTAATATTCGTAAATTATTCAACAGTTTGGCGACGAGGATTAAAGAACGGTTACATTAGTACATAATATAAATAGCTACATTCACGGAAGAACAATTTAAAGCTTTATTGGATGTGTTAAAAAGAATACAAAATACGTCACGTTTTAGTATTTATGACTTTTTACTTCTTTTTCACACCGATTAATTAACAAATTACGTTGTTATAATTAATTTTTTGAATGCAATACTTTCTAAAAGAGTGGAACCGAAAAGAATCGTTATGGACTGAAACAAATGCGCAGAACCCAACCGTTATAAATATTTTCGCTTAAATATAAACATAACCGGAACCAATATTTCATTTGGGTCCGAGTCCCTGCCTTTAACAACCAATTATATGAATTCGAATAAAAATTATGTCCACTCCATGACACCGTCCCACCTTATACTTCTAAGACAGGGATGGGGATAGGGCGGCCCGAGGGCCAAATCCGACCCGCGACATGTTTCGATCCGGCCCGCGGTTAATACCAATCATCTATATTTTAATCGCCATATGCACATATGACCTCCCGCAGGCCGCACCTTTTGTACTAATGCTACCAAGAAAAAGAAAAACTTGAAAGGGATAGAAAGGGATTTACAAATACTTTCTTCTCCATTCGTTGTAAATTGTGAGGAGATTGCAGCAAACTATCAACATGAAATAATTGAGCTACAATATGACTAAACGTTGAAACAACTTTTTAACAGTTCAATAAAACTTTAGTTCAAAACTTTATCGTAAACTAAATTTCCCAATCTAATTAAACACATTATTTCTATGTTTGGGTCTCCATACAGTGTGTCCCTGAATTGATATTAAAACCCAAAATATTCTTAAAATTGTATTCACACCAATCAGAGTTTATTCTCAGAATCTAAAAATAAATTTCCAAAATTTTTAGTCCAACATTTCTTGTAACATCAATCCATGCCACACACTGTATATCTGTGAGCAGAATCTTTATTAATGAAAGTTCGTAAAAACAAGGGACAGGATACTAACAAACATCTTGAGAGTGTTTTGCAAATTTCTTCCATTAATTTGGATATATTAATGAAGTGTCGAAATTTCATTTGTCACACAAGTCCAGCACATACAAAGAACATACACGATCTTTGGCACATCAACCAATAATTTTTATCAATTTGGTTTTTTGTTACGTAGGCGTAATAAATCGTCTTTTCCCCGCCTAAATGCTGTACCTAATTATTTTATGTGGCCCTCTTTCAAATCTATTTCCCCATCCCTGTTCTAAGAGATGAAAGAAATAGGTACTGCATATAATCAGCTTACCGGATCGTGCGGATGTCTTGCATAATCTGAAGGACTTTCTCTGGTGTTTTTATCATCAGCGCATCCGCCACCCCAATCGACTTCTTTCTTTAAGGACTGAAAAAGAAAAACTTTTATTAAAAATTTTCATTTAGCTAATCACAATTCGATTCATTCGAATTTGGCATCATTAAAAACTGAATCGCGATCTAAACAAAATAGTTTCAGTTTAATCTCAAGTCGAAATATAAGTTATTATTGTGATGGAAATGTAAACTATGTCTATACCAATTACGTAATATAATGCTATTGTTTGATAATGACATTGTAAGTAGTATTGATACTATTATTGCAGTAAGTATAGTAACGGGAGCACACTTTGCATTTAAATTTTCTTTCAAATTTTATATATGGGTAAAATTGCATGTATACAATTTTTACGGATAGTAGGCGCGAGTCAAGTTATTAACGAACGGATGTAGAACGTCTCTACCAGTGACAGTGAACTCTTCTATTTCGGTGGTACCATTTTGGCCGAGACAAAATATTAGTGTAAACAAAAGATGCTGGTCTATTATTGCTTTAAAAGAGAGATCGAGCGGGGTAATTTCGTTTATTCCGTTTTCGCCTTAATATAAGTAGCGAAGCGCATAGCGAGCTAAAGATGTGGAGCATCTATGAAAGTGTACTGTACATGTACATCTCGTCCGCGCCTGTTGAATAGTTGCAAAAGCAGAATTCGTTTAGTGAATAATTAGCGGTCGAGTGAACACGCTAAGTGATTTAATTGGGAAACGTGTAGTTTTTTCGGTGGTCAAGTGATAAATGAAACGCGAAGTGGAAATTAATCAATTAACAAATGGTGCGTTAATTTAAGAAAACCCATCGTAGTGTAGGCAATAACAGATTGTGATTTTTAGGAAAGATACGCAAAAAAGACTCATGTCCGCGAATTGCATTTATCAAGGTAAACGCTGAATATTTCGAAATGCATATCTATTGCGTATTTAAAAATGTCTATATCGAATTCCGACGAAAGAAGAAAACAAAATTGTGTGGTTACAATAGGAACGATATACCAAAAGAAGATAGAAGAATCGATATTGGTAAAGTGAGGAATTACATACATTAACATAACCGAGTAAAATAGACTTGTGGTACGCTTGATAAATCATCGCGCATTTAATTATAAACTTTCATTACATCGTGGGTACGAACATTTCAAACCAGACCTTTGACCTGGGGAAGATTATCATCATTACATGTATGAAGAGAATACTACCTGTCCCAGATTAAATAAGGAGCCTATTTATTCTGAGACGAGTAGTATTTTTCCTATAGTTGTGCTCGTTCAACTATTATCGCTTTCGAACATATAATGTCATCATATGACAGCGAGGCGGTGGAATGGGTTAAACTGGAACTGGAAGAGTATTAAAAAATATAATTAATAACCCTTCCAGTAGGGAATGAAGGAGATAAATTGTAGTGAGACAATTTTTTTTATATCAAACGTATATTGGAAAGCTTCAAATGGTGGTTGTAGGAATGGTACGGAGGAAGCACAAGGGGTGGGAGGTCGAAAACTTGGATTCTTTACCACCAGATGACTGTATATGACATGCAAGAAAAATTGGGACTATACTTCTCATTTTGCAAGCTAAAAGTCTCTATTCCCTGGATTATAAATCGATGGAAATTCCACATCGTTGCACCAAGATTTGTCAAATTTTGTAATTGTAATTGGGTATTTAATAAAATTCCAGGTTCTTGTTAAACTTACCCAACTTACGTAGGTGATTTTATTCTTAAGTTAAGTCAGTGGCGGAACAACGTAGCCACGGACCTGTGTGCGAAATTGTTTGCTGGGCCCCCATTATGATACGAAGTATTGATAACAATATTAATTTAGGTATGAATTTTGGCTAAAAAAAAACCATTTGATAAGTATTTATGTTCCTGAACCTGAACATAGAAAAATATGTGCGCAAGTACAAATCAACAACAAGGTGTTATAAATTTCATATAGGTACGTATAAGCGTTGATTGAACAATTTTCATTGAACGGTATTAGTAACAAAACTGAAGCAAAATGAAAAATATATTTTCTAAATTAATATGGTAGAAATAAAATAACAAAATATTGGAAATTTACACGATTTACAAAATTGAATCTTACTTTCTCAGTTAACTTTTACTATTCAGAAAGTCATTCGTTCGGTTATAGTGTTATCTCATATGACAAGTTATGGCCAATTTTTTGTACCCTTGAAGTTATGCTGCGTATTTTAGTACAAAAAAATGAAATTTAGTACATTAACACTTTCATTGACATTTGATATTCACTACAATTTAAAAAATTGCTCAATCGCTAGCTGCAGTCTACAGTTCCATTCCCTTGTTCCGTGTTTCCGTCTTTTCGTGAACAGTGTATTATTTCCGAGTATGACAATCCCAGGTCCCGGGCCCCTTTTAGCCCGGGCCCGTGTACTTCGCACACATTGAACACAGGTAGTTCCGCCACTGAGTTAAGTTATATTAAACAAGTTGAAAAAGTAATCGTAAACGATTTACAGAAAGCGCATTTCCACTTGCATTCATTTCCCATTTGTAAGATGCAACTTCTATTATTAATATATTAATATAAATATAATATTATACGATCGCATCTCAAAAATTGACCCCCAGATGCCGTCGATTGCGGTTAGCTGTAAGTGAAGTTGCCTATATCTATGTTGTGCTAAACACAAATGGGAATAAATGTAAGTCACCGCTACAAATGCTACAATGAATTATTGGAAACAGAAGTGCACCGATAGCATTGTCACTTTTGAAAGAATCGATTTCTTATTTTATTCCCAGAATGTGGTTTATCTAATTCGCACATTTTTGTATTTTTCGATCTGATTGTATTGTTACGGTCGCATATCTAGATATCTCCAATAATTACACAAAAAGAAATAAAGTAGCTTTCTGTTTATTACTGCGTGAAATTGAATTTAATGTTAAAAGCAAAAATTAGTCAAGGTGTAGATCCATGTAAAAAGACAGATCTGTAAACTTTATAATCAACGATTCGGATTAATTAGAGCAATGCGTTTTACCCAAGTGAAGTTTAGCTTTACTTCTTGAACGAAAATGGGGGACCTATAATCATGAGATCCAACAGGTACCAATTAGCTACAGCCTTTTTACTGACGATCTGGTCTTCTATATAAGAATTTCAAATCAAGAATATGCCGTGAAATCTTTACAAGAATCGACTAATCTTTTACAAGAACGGTGTGACAAAACGGCCTTAAAATATCTACAAACAAAACTAAATGCATATTATTCTATCATTCTAAACAACTGTAAAGGAAATGCTCCAGACATGACGTCGCCTTTGGCGCTCTGGAATTTTCTACGCGTATTCGAGAATGTTCGGGACTTACATTGCTTGCGTGTATAAATGGTTGCGGACCGAACATCGCGGCAGTCTACTACCGATCGAGTACGGACGAAACATAGAGCGCGAAAAGCTGATATAAATTTCGAAGTGTGTGATATAAATAATCGATATAAATTGTACGGATTTTATAGTGTTTTAGTTTTGTTTAATAAATATTGATATAAATCGAACCCGAATTTTATAAATAACGTTACATTGGTGTCAGGAGTGGAATTAATTAAATTAATTAAAAGTAAGTTTAAATTAAGTGCTTCTGCTTGTGTATGCCTGTAACAAGATCTGCTGCCGCTAAAATGGAAGAAACGATGCTCAATTTGCTCCAGCAAATCCAAAATGGCCAACAGGTGTTGCAACAAGAAATGAAAAGCAACCAAGAGAAGTTCGAGAAGATGGAAGAAAATTCTAGAAATATTCAAGAGAAGTTGGAAGAAAATTCTAGAAATTTTGAAGAGAAGTTCGAGAAAATGGAAGAAAATTCTGGAAGAAAATTCTAGAAATATTCAAGAGAAGTTCGAGAAAATGGAAGAAAATTCTAGAAAGATTAATGAAGAAAATTCTAGAAATATTCAAGAGAAGTTCGAGAAGTTGGAAGAAAATTCTAGAAAGATTAATGAAGAAAATTATAGAAATATTCAAGAGAAGTTCGAGAAGTTGGAAGAAAATTCTAGAAATTTTGAAGAGAAGTTCGAGAAAATGGAAGAAAATTCTAGAAATATTCAAGAGAAATTCGAGAAGATGGAGGAAAATTCTAGAAAGATTATCGAAGAAGTCTCTACATCAATTGAAGAAAAAGTTGAAGATAGAATTACGGAAGTTTCCAAAACATTTAAAGCAACATTCGTTGAGATTGAGCACAAGTATGAAGAGCTGCGCGAGCAATTCTTGCGACTGACTATGGAAGAGCGTACTAGTAGCGCCCCAGATGAATTACTGATGGACCGTCTTCTTGAGGTGCCACGTGCCACAATCTACTCATTACAAGAAGGTCGACCCAGAAACAAATACAAGAGTAGAAGGCGACGTTCAGCAAGCCCGAGTAAAGCCACCTACTTTTGATGGTAAGATTCCTTGGACCACGTACGTTCGACAGTTTGAAGCAGCGGCTGCGGCAAATAAATGGACTCTTCAAGACAAAACTACAGCCCTGATTCTTGCTCTGAGAGGAGATGCTCTGGATGTGTTGCGGACTATCCCCGAGGATCAACAGAACTTCCAACAAATAGTAGCGCGACTCGAAATGCGATATGGCGATAAACACCTTCAGCAAGTTTACTATGCCCAAGTCAAGAACCGAATGCAGAAATCTGGAGAAAGTTTGCAGGAACTTGAAGCGGACATCGCTAGACTGATTCGATTGGCATACCCTACGGCACCAGAGAGCTTTCTTGATCAACTGGCTGTACAAACATTTATCGATGCCGTTCGTGATGGAGATGCCCAGCAGGCTTTGAGACTGGCTAGGCACGACAAAATTGAGAAAACTTTGGCCCATGCGTTAGAATTCGAAGCCGCCAAGAAAGCTAGTCATGGAAGTGCGCGAGTACGTATGGTGGAACCTCGCAGTGAGAGCCGGGTAAGAACCGTCGAAGAGGAAGGTGGCTCTGAAAGTTTTGAAGAAAAGGTCAGTAAAGTAGTGGAAGAAAAGGTCAATAAAGCAATACAGTCA